CCTTCCAACACAAGGCCACACCTGGAGTCCTGGGTTCAGTGTTGGGTCCCTGACTCCAAGAAGGACATGGAGGTGCTGGAGCGTGTCCAGAGAAGGGCAACGGAGCTGGGGAAGGGTCTGGAGCACAAGTGTGCTGAGTTCCCTTGTGGCTGAGGGAACTGGGGGTGTTGAGCCTGGAGAAAAGGAGGCTGAGGGGAGACCTTCTGGCTCTGTGCAAGTCCCTTGGAGGAGGGTGGAGAGAGGTGGGGGTGGGTCTGTTCAACCAAGGCCCAAGGGACAGGACAAGAGGAAATGGGCTCCAGTTGTGGCCAGGGCCGTTGAGATGGGATGTGAGGAAGAATTTCTTTGCTGCAAGGGTTGTGAGGCATTGGAAGGGGTTGCCCAGGGCAGTGGTGGAGTCCCCATCCCTGGAGGGATTGAAGTCGTGTAGACATAGTGCTGAGGGACATGGGTTAGTCATAGGGGACTTGTCAGTGTTGGGTTCATGGTTGGATTCGATGAGCTTAAAGGTCTTTTTCAATCCAGGCAGTTCTGGGATTCTGTGACCTGTTTCTCACCATCCCTGTTTTGCTCACAGGGCTGAAGAGCTGGGAGAAACACCATGACTGCTTCCCAATGTCCCAGCAGAGATGTCTGTGGGAGCCGGTGGGAGCACGCGGGCTCCTGAGTCAGCTGGCACCGAGCACTGAGGGTGACAGACATTTATGGGAACCTCTGTCCCTCAGCCAGGACCCCGGGGACTTCAATCCATGTTGTTCAATCCACCACCCCTTGGCCCAGCCACGCAGCAGGAACCTCCATAACCATCCCTCTAAAAGCTCTCTAAACACAACACGCAGCCTTCATGCTCCCCCACACTGCTGCTGCAAGCCTTCCTCCCCCCAACTGATGGTGATGACTCTGCAGGACTCACCAAGGATGGTGAAAGACCAGTCAGACACGGCGCCTGGAGTATTTCCTATTGTTTCAGACAATAATTCAAATTGTTTTGCTCTCTAGGACAAGCACATCATCTTCTTAATTTTTTTTTGGTGTGTGTATCATTGTTTTATTGTCTGATCAACCACTGACATTTAAACATCTCCTAAAAAGCTCCCCAAATGCACAAAGGACCTGTAAACGTCCACCTTTGATGTATCCCTGAAATAAAGAACCACCAAAAGAAGAGTTTGGTCTGAAGCTCTAAATAGTCAACACCGTATCAGTCAGGAAATCTCTCGGTTCTTCAGCTCAGTGTGCACCTCGCCAGTGTCATCTAGGGAGATAGATCTGTGGTTTACCCCAAAAGACACATCATTTGGTGGGAAATGGTTGAAAAAGGAGCTGACAGCATCAGCGTTTGTTGTGAACTCACCTCACTGCAGCAGCGCTGTGCTGAGACACGGAGAAGCAGGAGACACACACCCAGACCCCGCTTCTCATAGATATTTCATAGGGTCACAGATGGTTTGGGTTGGAAGGGACCTCAAAGCTCATTCAGTCCCAACCCCCCTGCCAGCAGCAGGGACACCTTCCACTAGACCAGGTTGCTCAAAGCCTCATCCAGCCTGGCCTTCAACACTTCCAGGGAGGAGCAGCCACAGCTTCTCTGGCCAACCTGGGACACTGTCCACTTCTTTTCACTTCTTTGCTGAGCAGTGCGTGCAGGACAGCATCCCACTGCCCAAGCCCATCCCTCACAGATGTCCCCCAAGGTCCAGAGCTCTCCTTCCTCCAACTCACTCCTCACTCAAGGCCATAAACACCCCCTGGATATTTCTTTCCACACAGATCTGACCTGTATCTATCAAAACCAGCCAAGTGCAGGAGTGGTTCCTCCAGGGAGGGAGGGACACAGACCACAGACTGTCCCCAATGTCCCTCCTATTGTCTCCCTGTCCATGCATATCCTGGCACACATATCCCTTGATGATTCCCCAAGTGTGCACTGAAAAAGACATTTTTTACTTAAAAAAACCCCCAAAAACTCAAAGCCAGGCCCATGCACCCTGATGTGGTCCAGGACCCTGACCTGCACCCATGGGCACAGTCAGCAAACACGGATGCCAACCCAGTTTGGTCCTAGCAGTGGTGGGACAAGGACAAGCACTTCCCTTCCCCATGTCACCACAGGTGCCTGCACTGGCAGCTGCAGGGACACACTGGCTGGGCTTGGCTTGGGGTTCCTGGCACCCCAACCCCAGCTGGGAGGTGGATGGATCCCACTGATGGATCCCTCTGTTGATGTGGGGGCTGATGCCTGTAGAGTTGGGACTCTCCACGCTTCAGCCTGGAGAAAAGAAGGCTCCAGAGAGACCTCCAAAGTGGCCTCCCAGTACCTGAAGGGGTTCCAGGAAGGCTGGGGAGGGACTTTGGCCAAGGGCAGGGAGTGACAGAACAAGGGGTGATGGCTCTAAGCTGGCAGAGGGAAGATGGAGATGAGATGTGAGGAAGAAATTCTTTGGTGTGAGGGTGGTGAGACAGTGTCCCAGGTTGGCCAGAGAAGCTGTGGCTGCTCCTCCCTGGAAGTGTTGAAGGCCAGGTTGGATGAGGCTTTGAGCAACCTGGTCTAGTGGAAGGTGTCCCTGCTGATGGCAGGGGGGTTGGAACTGGATGAGCTTTGAGGTCCCTTCCAACCCAAACCATTCAATGTTTCTCTGATTCTAGGACTCCCCAGCCCTTCACACTTGCTCCAGCTACTGCCCCTGGGAGCCAACAGCCCCAGCATCCCTCTTGGACCCCACCAGATCACTGTTCCTGATCCACCATCGCTTTGGTGACAAGGCTCCAGCATTAATTAAGCAGCACTGGGAGAGGGAGTAATTTTTGCAGCCATAACCGAGAGGTGGCACTGACCCCTAGTGACAAGCTCCTGTCCCAGTGCTGCACAAGAGAAGGGCTGTGACTGGAATAGGACGTGTGGCCAAGAAGAGCAGGGATGTGGGAATGCTCCTCGTTTTGCACAAACCCTGCTGAAGGAAGGGATCACAGAACCATGGAATCATTAAGGTTGGAAAAGACCTTCAAGATCATCCAGTCCAACCATCATCTCATCACCACCATGTCCACTAAACCATGTCCCTGAGTGCTACATCTAGATCCTTCTGCTTCAGGCCTGGGTGGGCTGGGGGAAGTGTTCCCATGAGGGTACATCCCATAGGGATACATCCACCCCAGCCACCCCAAGCACAGGATCCCAGCCCCACCACACACCACGCTGCACCCAAGACACACACGTAGATTGATTGTACTTGAGATGATAGAAATCATTTGAGATGTTCATGACAAGCCCAAATATCGCGCTTCACCTGCACCAAGCGGGAGAGCGGCGCGGTGACAGCAGCAGCGGTGTCATTAGGGACAGGACGGGAAGGGATTGATGTACAACTGGTAGAGCCCAGCAATGTAACAACCTTATACAGCAGAGGAATGATGGGAACTCATGGAGGATCCACTCGTGCCCTGAGTTACTCCTTCCCTTGGGAATACTCAGCTGCATGGCAGGCTCTGCTCCTCAGGCTCCGGTTTCTTACTTGAAATATGTCCATTTTGGCTCTAAGCCTGTCATTAAAGTCTCAAAATGGTCTGTTTCAATGAAGATCTTCAAGGAGATTCCAGGACCAATGGTCTGCTCCTAAGCATTTCAAAATATTCCCAACCACGTGAGCTGCTTGCAGGGAGAGAAATACAGACAGTACAATGCTCTCAGCAGCTCCTCACTCACCAGCAGTTTTTTCTCACCTCAGTAACTTCAGAGCCATAAGGAGGAGAAGGAGGATCCAACCCTCCCGGCACATCTCAGTGGTGCTGTGGAAGGGAGCAGATGTTTATTGAAGGGGGTGGGAAGATTGTCCTGGCATGGGTGGCATTAGACAAAGCTTCTCTCCAAACACACAGCTCTCCCCAGCCCACATCCCACACTGGCCTTCAGCCTCAGGTCCTCCAGCGAGGAACGACAGACTCTTTGCTGTCCCCAGGAGATGAGCAGAGGCTGGAAATCAGCTCCATGCCACCTCAGAAGGATCTGTCCCCAGAAGGGTCTGTCCCCAGCACTGCCAGCCTTGCCCTTCATCTCCTTCCCCTGGTTTCCAAAGCTCTGATCTTTTTTGCAGACCTCACTCCTCGCACCATCCTCAGCTCAGAAAGCACCGACCTCACCGCCGTCACCGAGAGCAAAGAAAAATCCAGGCTGCAAATAACCCCCTGGGCTTGCGACCAAGAAAATGCCAACGTTGAGCAAAGCCATCTTCCAACCTGCCTGCCCTGGGGATTTGCTGGCAGATTTTTGTCCCAGCTATTCAGGGCTGTTGTGATGACCTGAGTTCTGGCCTTTGGAATAAAACCAGATACTCCTCTTATCCCTGAGGATGAACATGCTCACGGATTCGGTTCACATCAGGTGTAAACACAAGCAGGTGCCAGTTCCAGCAGCCCTGGAGTGGGTGGCATGCATGGTTGCAGTGCAGATGTAATTGCTTTTTGAGAGCAAGGCTTGCAGACACCCACCAGTAGCATCTGTAGAGCTGCTGCTGCTGCTGCTGCAACCGTGGGGGAGAAAAATGTGCTTTTTTATCCTGGAATCACTCACCCCTTCCTGCACAGGCACAACCAAAGCTCCTCTGTGAGACATATAGAAACTATAGAGCAGGGCTGAGCTGAGTTGACTTTTCCAGCCTCCAGCACATGGGAACTCACCCCATCTCTCCCCCAGCTATAGGGTGGGCTGAGCTCCGGCGCTCCAACCGCCCTGCAGATCTGCTCTGGCCTCTTGCTGTGAAATGCAATCCCAAGAGCAGGCAGGAGAGCCAAGGAGTGGGATGTATGGACACATTTCTGGCATCAGAAACCAGAGCCACTGCTGAATGACCAAGGGAACGCAGCAGGGAAGTGACACTGAGGCTTAGGGGCTGTTTTATCCCTTCACCATTAATTTAGAGCTGAAAACACTCCTCTCTTTGGTGAGGGGTGGGAAAGGGGTAAGGTTTTCTGGGCATTGTCCCACATCTTTCACTGCCCAGCTCTCACAGCTCACTGTGTCTCTTGCCCTGCTTCTCCCTCGCTGCCAGCCTCGGCGCTGTCCCCCGTAGGTCCCTCCCAGGGGACCCAACTTTCTCTGCCTTGGTCTCCTGGGATGGATCCACCTGGATGGCTTTGTCCCCTCCTGGGCTTTCAGGTGGGTGCTGCTCCAGCATGTCCCCGTGGTGGTGGTGGGAGGTGTGGAGGGGAAGCCCAGGCACGGCCGTCTCCATCATCTGGAGGAAGTCATAAGCAGGGAGAGGTGGTTTCCAGTCTTCCTCAGACAAGGTACCTGAGAAGCAAACACAGTCCCATGTTCATAAGTTAAGAGTTATGCAGCCCCACTCCACAGATATTTCTCCTTTGAAGGAATTCTGGCTTTTTTTTGCTGTTCCACTGAATGCAAAATTAAATGTCTTCTCTTAAAGATCACCCTCTTTCCTCCAAAACTAATACCACCACTCAAATTAAACCAGCCAGGGGTACACTGGTATTTACCAGAGGTGGTCAAGGCTCTGCTCCCAAAGACTACAGGAGTTTTCCATCCTCAGACAACCCCATTACAAAGTAGGTCACACTCAGGGTCTGTCCACCAGCAGGTGAATATTTCATTTGGGTCCCAGATCACTGTGTTAATGACTGTGCATTACTGACACACCATTAGGAGGGAGGGGAGACTGCTGTCTACACGGGGAGGAAGCAGTCCCATTACATGAGGATGCTCTTTAATTTCTGCTTTTAAGACTGAGCACACGGTTTGCAGCACTTAAAAGCCCGAGGAAGGAGGTTGTGATGGCTGGCACAGCTCCCAGCTGTGCAACCAGCTGCTCAGCCATCAACGTGCCCCTCTGACACCCCTGAAAACTAAAGTCCCTGAAAACCTAGAGACCTAAGTGACAGCCTTTAGCAGTGGCAATGGAAGGAGGTGTGGGAGGATGGCTGGCCCATGGGGTTCTCCCAGCAATTACTGGTGTCTTCAGCTCTGGAGAGAACCTACACATCCTCCCCCATCAGGCTTTTGGAAACATTTGCTTTGAAAAGCTCATTTTAAAATGCACAAAGATCAAGTAGAGTCACTCTGTGGTTAGGTATGACACATGGGAAGGCACATCTCTGCTACCTTCCTCCAAAGCTTCAGTGGGCTGGTCAAGGCAAGAGGGATGCACTGAAAAGCTTCACTGTACAAACCAACCCTTTATATCCCAAAGACCACAGCAAAGCACCAGCTTCCTTATCCTCTCCCATCCAAAAAAATGCTGAAAGGCACCTAAAGAGCAGCAATTTCTTATGCTGACAACTGGAAGTCAAGAGATTTCTTTTTATTAGCACTCTGTGTTTCAGAAAGTCTGTTCACAGCAACTGGAGAGCACAGCCAGGTTTGGGGATTATCACGGGGAGGAGATGTCGATTCAGACCTATTCCCACTTGGCTCTGAACATTAAATAGTCCTGAAGCAAACTCGTGAGTGTGGGTATTCTCTTCTGGCTGGACTATTTGTACTTCTCCAGCTCAAACTAGCATAGCTACTTTTTCCATCATTAAATTCCAGGGCAGACAATTTATTGCACGTAGCATCTTCTCATAAACAGAGCGGAGCTAACAGTGCGTGCTTAGGAACGTTACAAATGTCTGTCCACTTACTGCTGGGAATCTCCACTCCTGCTTTTAGCTTCTCCAGCCAAGACAAGATGTTCATTTCAGTGATGGGCTGCTCTGATGGGAACTTGAATACCTGACCACCAGCATGAAGGTTCACCCAGACAAGAAGAGGCAGTGAAGGCACGGTTGCAAAGTATGTCTTCAGGATCCCACGTCCCACCGGAGTCTTCTTCCTGTGGGGAATCATAAAATCAAAGAATCATCAAATGGTTTGGGTTGGAAGGGACCTCAAAGCCCACCCAGTTCCAACCCCCCTGCCAGCAGCAGGGACACCTTCCACTAGACCACGTTGCTCAAAGCCTCATCCAACCTGGCCTTCAACACTTCCAGGGAGGAGCAGCCACAGCTTCTCTGGGCAACCTGGGACACTGTCTCACCACCCTCACACCAAACAATTTCTTCCTCACATCTCAGCTCCATCTTCCCTCTGCCACTTTCAAGCCATCACCCCTTGTTCAATCACTAGGAAGAGAAGATTCAACTTGCTCACCAGCAGTTTGGCAGCACAACGGGACTGAGAGCTGAGCAACCACCAAACCCCTTGGGCTTCATCCAGCAAAGCTCACAATTTTGCCTAAGGGACAGCTCTAGAAGCTCACTGCGCTATTTATAAGGCACTCAACACCTTAAGTAAGCCATTAGGGTCCAAGGGAGAGGTCACCACACTACTTATAAGCTCAACGCCTTAAGCAAACCATTAAAGTCCAACAGAGAGGGAGCGGACAGCAGATTAGATGTTTAAAGAAATCCTCGAGCAGGAGGAGCTGGGTAAACTCTGTAGGAATGTGAAATATTCTCCACTGTAAGTTTTTAAGAACAGGTGAGACAGAAGCAGGACAGGTCCTGCAGCCCCACTGTGGTGAGCCCTTGTTTGCAGGGAGAGCTACCAGCTCCTTCCAGCCCAGCTGCTTCCACCACCTTGTAGCTGCAGCAGCTCCGCAGGGGATGGAAAGGCAGGAGCTGATGCGGAGGGTTGAGCTCAGCCCTTGGGTAGTTGCTGGGTGCTTCCCACAGCCCTCAGGCAGAAATGAGGAGCTGGGATGGCAACTTCCCCAGGTGAGCCAACAAGAGCCAGAAGAGGACATTGAGATGGAGGGACAGCAAACCCATGAAGATGTTGAATCCTTCCAGCGCTATTTTCAGGCTGAGAGTGATGGTCAAGTCCTGAGCTGGCTCTCACCATGGGAATGAGGTCCTCTTTCTAGGACTAGGCTACTCTTTCTGAGCCATGTTTTGCCCTCTTTTGTGGCACTGTCCTTTTGCTCTGACTAAGGACAGCTCTTTCTCTCTCAGGAAGGGAAAGCAAAGGCAGATGTGTAGGTGGGGAAGTTCCAGGGGCTCTCGTTTCCTGAGCATTACTGGCAAAAAAAAAGTCGTCTTCTCTTTGCAAACATGTACATTCCCCGTTAGTTAAACTTCAGCCCACGCTGCGAGGCGCTTCCCAGACTTCAAAGCACGGTATGATTAAGACAGTGAGGTGTCTCTGGGTTTGGGCAAAACAAACAGAGGCTAAAAATTGAAAACACAACTAGGGAGGGGGAGGATTAAAAAAAAATCCCCTCTCCTACAACTTTCTATTTCTTAGCTCCTGGATTCATTTTGTTTCTTCAAGATTTTTTTTTGAAGTTTGCCTTATGGGGCTGCTTCTGAAAACTTCCTTTCTCCCAGTTAACAATCAGTAATTACCCTGTTGGGCTTCCCTCTAATTGCTGGGAGAAAAATCACCATAAGATACTCCACGAGGGTAAATTAACTTTTTTTCTTCCACATGTGACAAAAATACAAATAACACCAGAGCTGAGGTCAAGCTACCACACGAGATCTTTGAGAACATTTTACTCTACTGAAAATTATTTCTGCAATCAATTAAACATTTACCAATTTTGACTTGGTCATGCAATTTTGCAGCTGCCCAGAACACATACTGAATCATTGCTAAATGATTTGAGCTCCCAACTCGTGATGACTTCAGACCAAATAATCACATTACCAGTTAGAGAGTGATTTCAGTAATTGCAGACTCAGTTTGTTTCTTGCCCTGAAATGCTAAGAGCATAACGGAAAGAAGAAAAGAGGTTTTTACACACTTACAAGTTCAACCAGCAAGCCACAAACGCTTGCTGGGATCTTCCTTTTGCCAGCTTCAGCATTTCTTTGCTTTCCATTTGACCGATGTCGCCATCGCTGAAGAAGATGAGGAAGGGCTTTCTGAGTTGCAAATAGTGGGGCAGATTTTGCACGGTGATTTCTGGCTGTAAGATGTCAAAACAAGAAGTTGGGGTTTATGGGGAGGAGAGAAAAGGACAAAATGAGGCTTTTCTGTCCTGACATGAGGGGTGCAGGGGCTAAGCAAGGTGTAGGGTCTATGTTGAATGCAAGGAGCTTGAAAACTGTGAGGAGCTTCTTCACTGTGAGGGTGGTCAGACACTGGAACAGGTTGCCCAAGGAAGTTGTGGCTGCTCCTCCCTGGAAGTGTTTAAGACCAGGCTGGATGAGGCTTTGATCAACCTGGTCTAGTGGAAGGTGTCCCTGCTGCTGGCAGGGGGGTTGGAACTGGATGAGCTTTAAGGTCCCTTCCAACCCAAACCATTCCATGATTCTATGAAAACAAGGGTGGGCACTGGGATCTTGGTGCACGTTGGAGATGTCTACACCCAACCTTGCCCATCGCAAGCCAAGTCTGAAGGAGCAGCCATGCAGGCCAAGAGGAAGTGTGTGAGCTGAGATGGTAGAAGCAAGGCCATCTCAAGCCCAGCTCCATGTGCTATGGCTACAACCAGTCTCCGAAAGGCAGATGAAAGAGGCAGGGAGCAAACCCTGCAGGAGGCCAAGCCACCACAGCAGCAGGTCTGTGACTATAAGGACAAACCAAGGCACCGACTCCCACAAGACCACCCAGCAGATTTCTGTCCAGACTGTCTGATCCAAGTCATAAAATGTAAAAACAAATGTAACTCAGCATGATAGAAATAACGAGGTAACACGTTTATTTTGCATAGCTCCATGTGCTTCTGCAAACGACCGCAAGAGAAAAAGAACAATTTTTATTTTTAATTTCTTTTTACTTACAAAAATGTCCAGCAGTTCATATCTGATCATCTGCACCATGTCCTGAGCACTCTGTTTGGACAAAGTGATGCTTTCGACGCTCTGACCTCCGCTCCTGGCAAGGAGGAGGGCTGGAGGAGACACTGAGTATTTATGGGATCTGAAAAAGACAGATGGTAACAAGAACTGGCCAGGGGATTTGGCACACATCAGATCACCTCCATGCAGAGTTGGCATCCTCATGATGAAAACTGGGGACAGGGATGTAGGGGAGGGAAAAGCTGCTGCAAGAGGCACAGGTATCAGCAGAAGGAAAGGGTCATGTTCCCCATTGCCCACTCTCCAGCCCTTCCACAGTCCTGATTTCATACAATCATGGACTGGTTTGGGTTGGAAGGGACCTTTCCAGGCCATCTAGTCCAACCCCCCTGCAGTAAGCAGGGACATCTTCAACCAGATCAGGTTGCTCAGAGCCCTGTCCAACCTGACCTGGAATGTTTCCAGGGATGGGGCTTCTACCACCTCTCTGGACAACCTGGGCCAGGGTTTCACCACCCTCATTGTAAACAATTTCTTCCTTCTACCTAGTCTGAATCTCCCCTCTTTTAGTTTAAAACCATTTCCCCTTGTCCTGCCTCTACAGGTCCTGCTAGAAGTCTGTCCCCATCTTTCTTATTGACCCTTTAAGTACTGAAATGCTGCAATAAGGTTTCCCTGAAGTCTTCTCAAGATCTGATGAGGAGAGATGGGGTTAACTTGTTCCTTTGTCCCCTTCTGAAACAAGCTCTGTCCCAGCTCTCACCAGACGCTAAATATATACACACATAAAACCAGCACTTTCTTCTGCAAAAAGACATCAGCTGCTAAATAACAGGAAAAATCCAAACCACCACCATCTAAACCATTTGCTGGCACTTCTCTTTCATTTTCACACCTAAGGTTAGGCGGTACCAACACCCACCCAGTGCTTTACTCTGCCTCCCAAGCCATAGCAAACAGAAGGTCTTAGACTCCATCCAAGGGACATCAACCTACACAAAAGAAGCTCCAGGAGATCTGATTTTTGGCTTGGTGAACACAGGTAATTTAGCTGAAGTCCAGCCCCACCTTAGAGCAACACACACAGCCTGTGCACATGCTCTCAGCAGAGAAACCAGCTCATCCTTCATTCCCCAGTGTTCTTCTGGTTGAGAGGGTTCAAGGGTATTTAAAGAAAAGCTGAGAAGGTGAAAAGAGCTAAAATAGGAGAAGTCTGAGCAATGAAAGGGCAAGGGGTACACCAAGATGAGAAAGCAATTTTCTGGAAGATTGAGGAACTTCAGTCCTGAAGGCTCCAGATGTCAGTGTCCAGACAAAGGGCGTGATGGAGGAAGTCAGCTGCCTCAACAGCTTTTTTGGGGGGTGTCTGTTTATTTTTCAAAGACTGCTGGCAATTTTTCAAAGGCTGTGACACCAGAATTGCTGAAGAACTGAGTGAGGTGTCAGGACATTTTGGGTTGGGGAGGTAAGGAGGTAGAAAGCCTTTGATTCCCTTTTCAAAAGTAATCTGGTTCATCTTTTTTTTGGTTGTTTTTCTTTTTTCCACATGAGAACAATGCAACACAGACTCAGCCTCCTGCAGAACAAACTACTTATTTTTAATGAAAGACAACTCAGAGAAAAGTCATGTTCTGACCTGCTATACTCCCCTCCATGGTTTGCCCAGGCAAGTTCAGTTTGGACACTTACATTAGCAGTTCTGAATGGGATGGTGATTTGTTCAAATCTGCTTTCAAAATCTCAATGTTTGGAGTTTTGCTTTAAAAAAAATGGCTTTAAATTTGCTTTAAAAATCAGTGTTTGGCGTTTTGGGTCATCAATGACGAAGCAAGTGGAGGGAACTGCAGATAAGACATTTGCATGATATTCAGCTCACACGTAGGCCTTTCACTTTCTCTATCACTGCACTTATCTGGCTGGAAATAAAACACTCACCACAAATTTCTAAGGGGCACCCAAGATCTACACTGATGTCTTGATAAAGAGCAGCAGTAACGATGACCGTGGACTTCCCTCAGGCCTTCAAATGTTGTGAATTCTGTTGCTAAACTGTTCTTGGATTTATCCGAGTCATTTCAGTTTCATGTTGCAGTATCCTCTGTTAGTTTTAATTTATCTTTGTAAATCCAGCCCTGAGCTAAGCTTTCTCCTTCCTGCCCAGAGCTCCACTAGTCAAGAAAGTTGAGTTTTGCACTTCTGGTCATGGCTGAAAATCCTCTGATCTATTAGGAAGGTCCTTAACTTTCCTCTCTGTTGTTTTTCAAATGAATCTGTATTTGGAATCAATTAAGAATGGGAAAACCATAGAAAATGTTTAAATTAATGGAGTGCTGTGTCCAGTTCTGGGGACTCCAACAGCAGAAGGACATGGAGCTACTGGAGCCAGTGCAGAGGAGGCCACCAGGATGATGTGAGGGCTGGAGCAGCTCTGCTGTGAGGACAGGCTGAGAGAGTTGGGGCTGTTCAGCCTGGAGAAGAGAAGGCTCCGGGGAGATCTTATAGCGGCCTCCCAGTACCTGAAGGGGCTCCAGGAAGGCTGGGGAGGGACTTTGGCCAAGGGCAGGGAGTGACAGAACAAGGGGTGATGGCTTGAAAGTGTCAGAGGGGAGATGGAGCTGAGATGTGAGGAAGAAATTGTTTGGTGTGAGGGTGGTGAGCCAGTGTCCCAGGTTGGCCAGAGAAGCTGTGGCTGCTCCTCCCTGGAAGTGTTGAAGGCCAGGTTGGGTGAGGCTTTGAGCAACCTGGTCTAGTGGAAGGTGTCCCTGCTGCTGGCAGGGGGGTTGGAACTGGATGAGCTTTAAGGTCCCTTCCAACCCAGACCATTTGTTGATTCTGTGATGATTCTATGATTTTGAACTTCTCAAACTTCCACAGGCCTTAAAGAGACTCTCTGGCTCGATGACTTCTCAGAGGAGATAAAGACTCTTGCTGCCTATGTCTAAACAGATTAACTTGTTCAGCAGACTTTATTAAGGAAGTTTCTTATATACTGCCAGAAAACCACCAAATTCCTCATCTCATAGCTAGAGTCTCCCCTGAAATCACTTCTCATCTCACTGGTCCACAACTGAGTGGTTGTACTGCTGCTTACACCACCTTTCTATTTCTATAGCAGGGCCATTCGATGGGTAATGTGAGACTTGCATTTAAATCAAAAACATCTGCAAACAAATACTTGGCAGGACTATGACATCCAAGTATTGCAGGAATAAATAATTACTTCATTCAGAGCATTTCTTCCTTAACATTTTTTTTTCTTTTTCATTAGTTACTAACCCAGTAGGTGCTTGCTGAGCAAACAATTTTGCTCACAACATTCTTTGTGTGTTTTGTATACTTTCTTCTCTGGAAAGAGGGGATTCAGCTTTCCGTGACCTCGGAGTTGACAAACATTTCTTCCTTGAGTGTTTAGCAGAAGGATAGCTTTTCTTTTTTTCTTAAGAAGGGAAGTGAGCCTGGCTCTTGCATAAGGAATTCCTGTAAGTGTTTACTTTCTACTTACAGTTGAGAAGATGACCAGCTACAGTAGCTTCACCCACAAATCACAGCCAAAATCCAAACTTGGCCGAATGAATATCTATACAAACTGTATTAATTATCCCAACAAAACAGGAGCATGCTGCAAACAGCGGCTGGAGCAGGAGGATGGAGGTGTTTTCTTGCATGTGTCATTGCTGACAGAACACAGGCTTTTTCTACTGGTATCTTGTTTTGTAAGATCACTCTGCCCTCCTCTGCTTTTTCCTTCTATCAACTGGGTTGAAATCCTTAGGGGAGAAAAGTCTTTTAGCTCGGAGAGTCAGGCTTGTCACCCTGATACTGCTGGTTGCTGCTGGTTTTTTCCTTGGTCTCAATGATCTTCAAGGTCTTTTCCAAAGATCTTTTCCAAGGTCTTTGGTTCCAAAGAACCAAAATGATTCTCTATGATTCTAATACCTGCCATGGCCCAGTGGTCTTCCAGCCATGAACAAGCCTGACACTGCCTCGCTTCTAAGACCCCACCATGGCTGATGCTTTGAGCACAGTGTGGTTAAGAGGTGTACTACCATGATATTTATATTTTTATTCTCCATGCACACCACAAAAATGCCCATGTCTCCTCAGACACGCTAGAGATGCAGCACATCTGTAAGAAACTACTGAAAATAATTCCCTCTTGCACTACTGGCTGTTAAACCCACACCTGGAAAACAGGTCAAGAACCTTCTGGGATTTTTCACTCCGCCTTGATAGATAATTCCTGATGGAAACAAGATGCCAGGACAATTTGAAGATTCCCCCTGATTTAGTTACTTTTACAGGCACTGAAACATCTCTTAAAGATGAATCCAAAGCACTTTGCCCCTTGCTGGAGTGAGTCTTAATGACACAGTTAAGTGCATGGACTGATACATGCTCAGATCCCATTAGCTCTAATTTGGCTTCAATTCAGGGCTGCAATTGATGTTCTTATTCCATCAGGAACTGACTAAGAAAGCCTTGACTTCACCTTTACGATATTTGCAGGAAGAAGGCTGCCATATGATTCCAGCACTCTTCCTCCAGAAAGAGGATGCACCTCCCCAAAGCTCTGTCTGGAATTGGTGGGAACATCTTGCTCTCGTCAAGGGGAGGGAAAGGGGTGAGCACATCTTTCAAGGAAAAGAAAAAGATCCACGCTAAGATTAACTGCTGAAAAGATGGAGGTAGGTTCTTCCCCATTCTTGGCAGTTGCAAACATCTCACAGCCACACGTGACTGCCCATCGGGAAGGTGGATGAGACCAAAGGGGTTGAATGTGTTTCACAGCACTGCAGAAAGGCAGACTGCTCCACGCCAAAGCAGCTCCATGGAAAGACAGCTTTTATTTCAGGGCTTTCAAACTGTTTTCCACCATGCAGACACCAAACCCACTTCACTGCTAGCCAGGAAAGCCTGCAAGTAGTCACAAGCAGCCTCTCTTTTGGCTGCTCTTGGTAAGTGAGGGCAACCATCAGAGCAAGACTCACATTTACACCCTCAGCTTTGCTGCAGTCCCCTCAGCAGGCACCTTCACAGCACCAGGGTAGGGAAGAGGAGATGAGAAGGTGAAGGGACTGCAGAAAGAGGAAGAACAGTAACAATTTGTCACTTCTTCCTGATGGAAGAAGAAAGGTAGAACTGTTTTTCCATCCTCACACACTGATCCTAGCTAGAGGGTATCATTTTTCCAGCCTGTTTTTTCCTTCATAGAAGTTTGGTCCTGTTGGTATGAGGAACCCAACAGATGTGTGGGGGCCTGGCACAGCTGGAGGACTGAAAATACCCAGAGTGAACTGGAATGGCAGGGAGGGAGATGATTGACCATTTCAACAGGGTTAAATGAGTTGTCCGTGGGCAGGTTATAAATCAGTGGCAGAGCCAGGGCTACATCTTGGCTTTGGCTGAGTCCTGACCAATGTCCCCACCAGACTAAGTCACTTGTAGCTGCTTAGAGCTGCTGATAAACACTCAGGGTGGCCAGTGACACTTGCTCTAGGCACTGCCTTTCAGTTTGAAGGCAATTGCCAGATCTGGCACTGCCAGATCAGTTTGAATTCTCACCAAAGAAAAAGAGAAAGAACTTACAAAGCCAAGGCATCATCTTCAAAATACATCCCCATCGTTACGTGGCCACTTAAGATGTCTCCTGCCTCTTCAAAAGCTTCCCTGGCTGTAAAAAAGACAAAGTTATTAAAAAAAAAAACCCCACCAAACATTAGAAAGAGAAGTGTCAGCTTCCTCCTGGAAACCAAATCGCTGTCTGCATACATTGCACCCTCCCACAGCAAACTGCCAGTTGGGAACAAAACTACTACGAGTAGAGGCTCGTGAGAAATGGATGCACCTCATGGCCACAGGCTAGGAGAGCCGAAAGGATCAGAAGGAAAGTTCCTATTCTGAGAACAGTATTTGCTCTTTAGCCACCAGGAGTGAGTTTCCAGGATCTGCACGGCAGAGGCACAGATGGGAAATGAAAGGTTGTTAAGGACTTAAAATTCCATAAGTTTAAGCTGAAAGAGGGGAGGTTTAGATGAGATATTAGGAAGAAGTTCTTCACTGTGAGGGTGGTCAGACACTGGAACAGGTTGCCCAAGGAAGTTGTGGCTGCTCCTCCCTGGAAGTGTTTAAGGCCAGGCTGGATGAGGCTTTGAGCAACCTGGTCTAGTGGAAGGTGTCCCTGCTGATGGCAGGGGGGTTGGGACTGGATGAGCTTTAAGGTCCCTTCCAACCCAACCCATTCTATGATTCTACGATTCTATGAAGTGTTCTTAGAAACAGGAGACCAATTATAAGACTAAACAGAAATCTTAGAAATCCCAATGACCTTCTGGAAATGACTGATGATGATTTAACTGGAATAGAGCTAAGTGGCCAGCAGAGAAATCAATCTCTCCCTCAAGTGTCTTTTGGTTTTCTTCAGTTCCTCAGAGCAGACAGGGTCTGTTACGGGCATCCAGCTAGGATAGGGAAGGTCAAAAAGCAAAATGTCTTGCAGACACAGCTGCTCCACCACTTTGTGCAGCTGCAAGGAGAGGGCAGCACGTCTGCTGTGGCAGTGTGAGGTCAGGGAGAGGATGGGAAGGAAGGACCAGGTTGGGGTTCTCCCAATCACAGCTGAATCTATCTGTGCAGAGAGACCCAGAGCAGAGCCCTGGAACGGAGCTGACTCAAGAGGTGGTTTATACCCTCATAAAACACGCTCAGTTTTCGGCAGCTGGATCCATGGGTGAGGCAAGCTTTGTGAGAACATGCAAACCATAGTGTGTGAGCTTGTAAAATCCAGTTATAGATCTGAGATCAAACCCGCTGCTGCCAAAGGTAGGGTGGAAATGGGGCAGATTTCAACACCACCACCCCTCCCCCTTTGTATTGAGCAATTGAAAGCAACAAAAAAGGTTCTTCCGACTTAAGGAGAGTGAGAAATCACACTCTTTGGAGAAGTCAGGTTTTCCCAAGAGTTAAGAGTACATCTCAGATACATCCATGATATATGTTGCTGTGTAACTTCAATAAGATCTCATTCAGAGACTATTTAGTCTTCTTCATAACATTCACCATCATATCACAACTGGCCAGCCCAAGCCCTTGGGACTGGTGACTCAGACCTCCATAGACTGAGGCTGTGGCTCACAACTGGTCACTTTTTGGTTCTTTGCCTCCTGCTTTCCAGCTACTCTCAAATCTGTATTTTCCATTGTGTTGCCCTGCAACCACAGGGACCACAAACCTTCCTTGACACTGTTTTCCTCTCCAAGCAGAAGCTTAGATCCTGAAAGGAGCGGCTCATCGAGGGTTCAGACATTGTAGGAATGGATTGGGTTTGCGTGGCAAGGTTTTGATGGTGGGGACATAGGGGTGGCTTCTGTGAGAAGCTGCCAGAAGCTTCTCCCATGTCTGACAGAGCCAATGTCAGCTGGCTCCAGGACGGACCTGTTGCTGGCCAAGGATGAGCCCATCAGTAACGATGGCAACACCTCTGAGATAACGGATTTAAGAAGGAGAAGGAAAAACCTGCACAATTGCAGCTGGAGAGAGAGGAGTGAGAATAGGTGAGAGCAAGAACTCTGCAGACACCAAGGTCAGTGAAGGAGGAGGAGGAGGAGGTGCTCCAGGCATCAGAGCAGAGATTCCCCTGCAGCCTGTGGTGAAGACCATGGTGAGGCAGGCTGTCCCCCTGCAGCCCATGGAGGTCCATGATGGAGCAGATGACCACCTGTAGCCCATGGAGGACCCCATGCTGGAGCAGGTGGAGGCCTGAAGGAGGCTGTGACCCCGTGGGAAGCCCATGCTGGAGCAGGTTCCTGTCAGGACCTGTGGCCCCGTGGAGAGAGGAGCCCACGCGGGAGCAGGTTTGATGGCAGGACTTGTGACCCCGTGGGAGACCTGCACTGGAGCAGTTCATGAAGAACTACAGCCCATGGGAATGACTGAGGTTGGAGAAGTTCATAGAGGACTGCTGGGAGGGACCCCACGCTGGAGCAGAGGAAGAGTGTGAGGAGTCCTCCCCGTGAGGAGGAAGGAGCAGCAGAGACAACGTGTGTTGAACTGACCTCAACCCCCATTCCCTGTCCCTCTGTGCCACTGGAGGGGAGGAGGGAGAGAAATCAGGAGTGAAATTAAGCCTGGGAAGAAGGGAGGGGTGAGGAGAAGGTGGTTTAAGATTTGGTTTTATTTCTCATTACCTTTCTCTGATACAATTGATAATAAATTAAACTAATTTCCCCAAGTCGAGTCTGTTTTGCCCATGATGGTAATTGGTGAATGATCTCTCCCTGTCCTTATCTTGACCCATAAACCTTTTGTTATATTTTCTCTCCCCTGCCCAGCTGAGGAGGGAAGTGATAGAGCAGCTTTGGTGGTCACCCAGCATCCAGTCAGGGTCAACCAACACACATACAACAAAGCTGGTGACACAGCTTGGCTGGTTCATCTTGTGACACAGAGAAAACACGGTTCGATGGGTTTGACGTTGGTTTCCAGTTCTTTGATCTTTGGTCATTTGATTTGATCAGTGTCAAAAGAAAAGCAACCAATAGAAACAGCTGATACGGATCACTGAGAACTTCACCAGCAAATCCTTTGTGAAAATGTCCGTGTCCAAGATACTGGAGAAAAGGACACGGGGGAGATCATCAGCCCATCCTGTGCCATAAGGCACTGAAGGACACAGCCTGATGTGGAAAGAGCAGCCTCACATCCAAACTTCCTCAGGAGACCATTTCTACAGGCGTTTAACTTTAAATCCTAACTTGATATGTAAGCCCATGATGAAGTGCTGCCCTGCAGTGTCCCTGGCTGCAGGAATTCTCTCCCAAATCAGGACAATCTGCAGCAGAGTCCAGGCTTCCTCCTGTCAGCAGGGTAATTCCTGTTGAGATCTTCATTCTCTATCACACTTCTAAAATGTTCAGCATTTTGGGGACTGTGCCAGACCCAGAGACGTGCACCAGTCTTCATTTCTCAGCAGCTCACAGGGATGGTCTCATAGCTCTATGGAAGAAACTCTCTCAAATCCACACAGCTCCACCTCAGACACAAAGCACCCAAAGGAACTATTTAAATCTTTCCTAGAAAATCAGTCCCCCTGAAGAGCACAGTTTGAATTCCCCACAGGGCCTGATCATGTGTTGCAGCACATGCCTCAAGCTGGAATCCCAGCTGCCTTCCACAACAGCTGCTGTGAATTGTGCAAGCCCAGCTTCACAGCAGGATTTGGGAACAAGAAGGAATAAAGCTGACAGATGGGGAAGGGGCTGCAGCTCCTGCAGAGCTTTTGGAGGCAGAATCTGATAACCCCTTATCCCTTCAGCAGAAGGCATCTCATGAAACCATAGAATCACAGAATCATTTTGGTTGGA